CAACTCGGAGTGACTCGCGTCAGCGTCGAGCGTGCGTTTGCCGTTGGCCGCGCGCGCACGTCCTCTGCGTGTGGCTCTGGAAGATTCTTTGTGCCTCTGTCTGCGCGCATGTTCACGCGCTGTGTTTTGTGTGCCTCGCCGGCTCCTCCGCCAGAGTTTCTCTTGTTTGTGTTGGTGCAACTCCAAAGCAATCACCTCGTTTGTATCGTCTTTCACCTTTCACCCTCGTTTGTTCCAGCAACAATATGACCACCTCTCAGAAGCACCAGAGCTTCATCTCTGAGCCGATGGGCGAAAAGCCCAGCACCGACCTGGCTGGCATCGGCGAGGTGCTCGGCAAGCGGCTCGCCGCCAAGGGCTACGATAAGGTAAGTGTTCCCCGAATTTGTTGTGTTCTACCTGTAATGACGCAATATTCCTTTTCCTCCTCAAACACAGGCTTACGTTGTCCTCGGTCAGTACCTGGTGCTGAAGAAGGACGAAGAGCTCTTTGTGGAGTGGTNCTAAAATCATCTCTACCAACACCAAAATTCTTCCACTTCTTCAGCACAGGCGCACCTCATTCTTTTTTGTTTCTATACACTACTGTAAATTCCAGCCCAGCTTCAAAATAAATGTTTGACCAAAACATGTGATTCAATCCTAACAAGAGAAAGGAAGACCCATCTGACAGACAGACAGACCACACAACTCGGATAAACCACAGGAACTTCTTTATTGCTGTTGTACTTACATCAACACGATTACCTTTTTGATGATTAGAAAATACCGTTTCTCTATCTACACTACTACCACCACTAATGTACTACGCTCCAAATTGATTAATAAACGTTGTATTTATTGCAGTGTTTCACTGCTAAAATCACAATTGTCACATTTCAAATGCATAGGTCACAAGCACATATCACAATCATTAATTTACTCCTGTTTACCACCGCCTTTGTTGGCCTCTTCAAACATGCGCTTGATCTGCGCCTTGTAAAAGTCGTTCACTTCCTTTCGCTTCATCTTCATGGCCGCCGTCAAACTAAAGAGGAGGAAAAAGAGGAACATGATTATCTAATCTGGAACAAAGTATCATCCGCTTACAAGTTATCCGGCGTCCACTCTTCAGGCACCAGCGTGATCACCGTGGGCACCTCCTTCGGGGCAAAGGACGCCCGCCTACAGGTGTCCCGAATTGAGTCGAGAACTTGCTGTTTCACTTGACTATCTTCGCAAAGCTTCTCAAAACTGAGGCTCCTTGGCTTGTCCAGTTTCTCCGCCAGTTCCACTAGGGCCCTTCGATTTGGAGAGACCAGGGCGGTGACGTAATTGCTGAAGGGGTCAGTGCACACGCAGACGCTCTCCACAAAGGGCGTGGCACGGAGGGCAGACTCAATCTTGCCCAGCGAGACGAACTCCCCGTTGGCAAGCTTCTGCAGGTCCTTGCGGCGATCTAAAAGAAAGAAAGAAAATGTTCTATTTACCTCCAAAACAAGCAAATCAAAATACTTACCGATAATCTTTAGGCATCCGTTCGGGAGCACCTCACCAATGTCACCCGTCTCAAACCACCTCGTCCCATCGGGATCAGTCTTGAAGGACTCCGCCGTCTCTTGGGGCATCTTGTAGTAGCCCTTGCTAACCGTCGGTCCGCCAATGACAATCTCCCCTCTTGGATTGGGCAGGTCCGCCGTACTGTACCCTCCCTCAGGCCAGTCCTTCAGGTAGTACTTCACCGAGTGGAAGGGCACTCCAGTGTGGCCGGTAGTGAGGTCGGCCGCCATTTGAATGGTACTTCCGGCCGAGGCCTCCGTGCAGCCGTAAGCATTCAGAACCTTGATGTTCATCAGCGCCTGCACACCTCTGTGCGTCTCCTCGCTAATGGGCGCAGAACCGACGAGCATCGTCCGAAAATGGCCGCCAAACTGCGCATTAATTCGCCGACAGAGCAGTCGATTGAGGAGGGGCGTGTCGTAGCCACGGGCAGTAAAGCGGGCTTTGTAGCTCACCAGGTACTCCAACAGTGGTACGGCCAGCAGTGGCGATTTGGCCTTCATCTGCCGGCGAACCTCTTTGATGATTCTGGAAAAAGAAGGATTGGGTAAGACCTTTTGTGTGATTTCTAATAGTAGCCTAAAGTTACCTGTCGAGGACTAGCGGCACCGAGCCCATAAAGTGCGGCCTGGAGAGGAGAAAGTCGCCCAGCTGACCGGGCACATGAGCCGGCGAGCCGTTGAGCATGGTCATCGCTGAGCAGAGGGCCACCCTCGAGTTGGGCGAGACAAAGGTGCCAAAGGACATTAGCAGGCCGAAGATGTGCCCTAGCGGGAGGTACAGCGACGAGGAGGGGGCGTTCAGAAGGGGCGTGCCCATCTCCATCTCTATGCGCAGCAGATTAACTATCGTCTCCTGCAGGCTGCGGTGACTCAGCATGACGCCTTTCGGTT